CCTGTAGAGATGATAATATGCACAAAAAACAAGACAGAGCAAAACAAAGCAACAAAACAACAACAACAACAAAACCAATGACAAAAAAAAAAAAAAGAAAAGTCTGTAAATAGTTCAAGGTTTGTTTGTTGACCTTTAGGACTATTTTCCTGTCGAATCTGATGGGGTGCCATGCCCTGGCCCCAAAGTATTTCTGGTATTCCCTGGGGACTTCCTTGCTCTGCTCCCCTTGCTGTTCTGTTGCACACCCTTAGTGATTTGCCTCGGTGTGGTGGGGTCAGATTGGGCACAATTCCCGTACTGTCTCCAGTGGCCCCGTAGGCCTATGGGTCAGTGAGGGATGCCATATGGCCCTCTCTGTGCATTGGCTGCTCTGAGCAGGGATAGGATGTGCTCCACTCTCTCCTCCTCCCCTCTCATATGCTCCTGTGTGCTCTGATCAGACATGTCCCTCTCCTTGAGCTGTAGCTTCAGTGCTGTCCTCTGAAGTAAATTTTTCTGGGGAGACGCGGGGGGCCGTCCATGTAGTTGGGATTGGGGCCAGCCCTCAGACCTCTCTAATGGTTCCCTGCTTCATGCCAGGTGTCATTAATTTTGTCTTGGTAGTCAGAAGGCTTCAGATGTATAGAAAATGACCATGTTGCCTTAGTAGTTCTTTTGAATTTAAAACATAAAACAAAAGGGGGGAATGTGAGAAATGGAACCGGGAAGAGAATGCATGCAGACAAATTCTCTACTTTTGTACTTTAAGGAGTCTGGTAGTCCGGCACTCCCATGGGAGAGACCTTCACATTTGTAGGTTGGAGATGTATTCTAGTCACATTCTCCTAAGCAAAAGTTATTCCCCATGATCCCCACCATAATAATGCCAATTTTAAGGTGCTACTTGAAAGCACATGGTTGCTACTATATACACTTGAAGGCTGCTCGCCTGAAGGTTGTCTGCCAACAAGAACAGTCAGACCCTATTGTCTGTCCCACTTTAAGTCCAGCCCACTCCCTTCTGATAACGATCATAGATTGTTCTTCTGGAGAAGAGCTCCGAGACAGTCCAAGTCAAGCCAGTTCAGAGAGGCCTAAGGTTAGGCCACCATCTTAACTCTAGAACCCGCCCATCTTGTATGTACCTTCCCGTCACATGTACCCCTCTCCTGTTATGTGTATGCCTCTTATACAGCCCCTTCCTGTTATGTATGTACTTACCGTGGCTTGCATGCCCAAGATTATATAAGCTTGTGAGAGAATACATTACATTACTATCTCATTCTGGTTCCGGTCGCCATGGAAGCGGTGAGCCCTTGCATGCCTTGTCTGATGTCTCTTTAATTTATCCCTCAATTACACAACTGTCCCTTAGGACCCATCCGGATGTGGGGCTGGACTACACACAGTGTTACCTAAAACAACTGGCAACAGAAATACCATAAGACCCAGCCATTCCTTTGCTGGACATATGACCCAAAAAACTAACAGACTAAACATGAACAGACATATGCCCTTCCATGCTCATTACAGTACAGTTCATAATATCAAGAAGCTGGAAATAGCCCAAATGTTCATCATAGAATTAATATAGAAACACTGGTACATGCACATAACGAAATACCACCCATTCCTGAAACACAGCAATGAGACCATAAGATACCTCATGACATGGAGGGGCCTGGAAACCATTATTGCCAGTGAAGTTAGTCCATCACCAAAGGATAGATATTGTATGAGCCCACTACTGTAAGGACAAACACCAAGATGAAGGTAGGCTTCTGCTCTCAGTCTATGTAATGTTCTAATCTGTTCTCTCAAGCAACAAGGTAGAGAGCCTGTCTACTGCCCACGAACCGTATACCACCCTCTCTAGATGTACATCTTAAAAACTACTGTGACAGGATTTCACTCCAGCTCGGGTCAGGTTTTCAAGATGAGGGAGAAGACCATCCAGTGGATGCCACCCAGCCCTGTGCTAAGATCACCCCACATCAACAGATACTCCTAACAAGAATGATAATCAAACCTGCCTGGAAATTCCAGTTAAGATGGAAGGGATGTGGGCATGTACATCTTTGAGAAGGTCTTTACATTTCTTTTGGTGGGTCAGTTGGGGTGGACCTCCCATTAGAAAAAAATAGTTAACTACTTATATAGAACCAAAGGGGAGAATTTGCCCTGTATTATGTTCTTAAATTGTTTCTTTTGAATTAGTTTCTATCTAGCCATTGGTGACCCAGGACATATGCGACAGAGTACTGGGATTTAGACTCTGTTCTAAAATCAGCACAACATCCTTAATAGTAGAAGGATTTGCTTTTTTTTCTCTAATCATTTTATTAGGGGCTCATACAACTCGTATCATTTGCTTTGCTTTGCCTCTAGGAAAACTCTATGTTTAAAAGTTTGTTATTGTTAGGTGCTATCAATTTGGCTTCAACTCATAGTGATCCTGTGTACAACAGAACAAAACACTCCCCGCTCGTTTATCATCCTCACAATTGTTCTTATGTCTGAGCCCATTATTGCAGCCCCAGTGTCAATCCACCTTCTCCAGAGTCTTCCTCTTTCTTACTGTTCCTCCACTTGACCAAGCACAAAGTCATTTATAAGTACAGGTTACTGCAGAAAGTTGGACATGGATGTACTGAGTCAATTTTGATCCATGTACAGACAGTTCAATACTCTTGGTTGAGCTGTCTTCTGCTTCTACACATACCATGTAATTTCAGTTGCAAGTCCTCAGGTTGCTGGTGTGTTTGAGGTAGCGTGTAGTTCACCTAGTGGAGTTTCCACAATGGATCCCTCTGGTATGGCCTTTAGAGTATCTTGTGCACCATGACGATCCAGGATTCAATGCCCCAGTACTCCGACACTTGGCATGGGTTCCGAGGGGGTGTACAGAAACTCAGGCCAACGTGGCTTATTAAGTGCATATTACTAGGCACACTTAAGATCCTTAGAAGCATTGTTAGTTATTCCCCCGCCTCCCCCGCTTGTATGCTGGTATCCGTTTTCTACCAACAGACTTGCACTTGTCTTTTCCCAGAATTGTCTGTTCACTTTCCTCTCTCCTGACTTGACTTTCCAATCAGTATCCATCATTCCTCTGACAGGAAATCTGCCAGTCAGGGGCACCTTGTCATAGCTTTGCATGGCAGCCACTAAGTGGTCATCCTCCCCCCTCCTTCTTCTTTTATAATCATTGTTTGTGAAAATAGAGTCCAGCCACGTAAGGATTTATTCTGTACAGTGAATAATTCAGGTATTGCGATATGTAGTTGCCTACTTTTTCAATCTCCCTCTCTCAACAGTGTTTTAAAAATTAGTACTATGGCCTGATCAATAGCACTATTAACAGAAGATCCTTATGCTCCAGGGAGATGAATGGATAAGATTTTCTACCATAAATTAACAAGGAGGTATCTAAGGGGAGCTTGAAGTAGAGAAAACATCCAAGATCTAGGAATGGATTTTGGGCTTGCACTTAATTCTAGCTACAATCTAAGAACAATTAATTCTTATGTCATGGCCCTGCCTGAGACTCACCCTCAGGAAGGAAGCACAGAAGATGTGGGTGCTATAGCAAAGTGTGGAGAAAAAATCAGATGGTGCCCAGCTATCAGATATAATAGTGCCTGGGATCTTAAAAGCTTGTTTCCAAACAAAGAGTCATCTACGTGAGGTGTCAATTAAGTCCCCATGAAAGAATAACACCAACATCCATAATCTAAGGATTGTAAATTAAATAATTCAAATTTGAAGGAGGGAACAGTATCAGAGTTTAAATTGTGAGGTTCTGGTGTACAGAAGGCTATGGATGGTGGTGGGATCCCAGAATACATATGAAGGATCTACACATGGAATAAGCTTCAGGTGATTTCCCACTAACCATAATGCAGAGATGGGAATAACCTGGTTACCAGACAGAGACTATTGGAGAAATGACCATAGTAGATTAAAATGATAAATCTGACTTGAACCATTCAAACCTCTCACTTGACCTACCCTCTGATACACTTTGGGCTAGACCTGGTTTTCAATATTTTCTGTGTTTGTTTTTTTCTTCCTCATTGGGGTTTGTCTCTGATGTATTCTGTAATTGTGGGTAATCTTCTTGAATCTTTGCTATGTTATTTGTTTTTTGGTATGTGAATCCCAGAATTGATGAACCTATAGAGAAAATAACCAGATGAGGGTTACTGGGGAGGGGGTGCTGTGGGGAAGGTAGGGGAGGAGGGGAACTGATATCAAAGAGTTCAAGAAGGAAGAAAATGTTTTGAAGCTGATTGTGGTAACAATTGTACAATATTGCTTGATGTGATTGAACAGTGAATTGGTATGATGTCTGGATTAGCTCCTAATAAAATGTTTATTTTTGGGGAAAAAAAGTACAGTTTATTTTACTTACCATCTGGCAGCTACTGAAGAGAGAGATACTTACATTTCTGAAGGAGTTGTTCATGTCTTTCATATCTAACTGTAGGAGGTTTCCAATAATTGGGAGAGGAGTGGGGCCAGGTGGGAGCTTTCCTTTCCTGTAGCTCTGTTTCCACAGGGAAAGGAGAAGCAAACTGGAGAGGCAGAGCACTAGGACCAAAACAGGCGCCATTGAAACTTCTTTCTCAGGCAACTAAGTGCTTCAAATCCATAGTTTTTATAATACTACCGTCTATTGAATTTGTGAACCACATGAATACGTTGACCAATCAGGTATGTTCGTTGTAATCTCTAGTGGGACTTTGGTTTATTTATAAAAATAAAGGATTAATCTTGCTCAAGGATTTTGTGTGCATCAAGAATTTTGCAATGTGTTGCCATAGTGAACAGGCAAGAGAAAGATCTGTTAAGGTTGTCATATGCTGTCCAATTAATTTCAATTCACAGTGATCTGATAGGACAGAATAGAACTGATCCTAAGGTTTTTCTGGGCTCTATGAGGGTGAGATAGTTAAAGTTTATTGTGCCAACGTGGCCGATAAACATGTGGGGTTAATTGAAGGGCAGAGAGATAAATGGCTCGGTGAGCCTCACCTTTCTAGTTCTTGGGTCTCTTGCTTTTTGATGGTCGGACCAGGGTGCAGCTGCATTAGCTAGTTCTTTGCTTCAGCTGTTAAGGCTCACTTCCTGCAAGACATTCCCGAGGAGAAGCCACATGGACCTACTCCTATGCAGCTGTGGGTGCTGGAGCAGCTATGTGGAGACACCTGCCAGTGCTGAGATGCTTACACACTCACTGATTCGGCTTTCCTTCTGCAGCTGGCGTCATAGTGTGTGTTTTGTGAGATGGAGGAGGACTGTGTGGATTGGTGTCGGACATATGGGCTAATGTTGGACTTGTGGGCTTGGGCAGCACTGGGTTGGGATGTTTGTTTGATGTGCACTTATCCTTTATATAAAACTCTCTCTTATACATATGAGTTTCTGTTTCTCTAATGTACCCAGACTGACACAGAGGGTTCAGACAGTTATGTATTTTGTCCCACGGAGCCACTGGGTAGATTCAATCCACCAACTTCCCCATATTATCAGCCAAGAACTTAACAGTTGTGACATCAGGGCTAGTTCTGTCAACATTAAAGCCAAGAAGAGTCTGTGGAGCTATTCTGTTTGGTAAAAAAAGGGTTAATATAGCCATTAATTGCAATGGACCGCATGGCAATTAGAAAATAAACAAATGAAAAAACCATAACTTCTCCCTCTCCAGGTCCCCACTGTGGAGATTTTTATTTTATTGCTGTGCAAAATATGGGCCCAAGGATCCCTAGTTGTACATTGGTTAAGCACTCAGCTAATAGCTGAATTATCAGTGCTTTGAATCTACTATCACTCTAATAGGACCCCACTACCTTGGTGGTTAAAATAAGCTCCATTCTGTAATTGTGGGTAATCTTCTTGAATCTTTGCTATGTATTTGGTTTTAGGTATGTGAACCCCCGGATTGATGAACCTATAGAGAAAATAACCAGAATGAGGGTTACTGGGGGGTACTGTGGGGGAGGTAGGAGAGGAGGGGAACTGATATCAAAGAGTTCAAGAAGGAAGAAAAGGTTTTGAAACGGATTGTGGTAACAATTGTACAATATTACTTGATGTGATTGAACTGTGAAATGGTATGATGTCTGGATTAGCTTCTAATAAAGTGGTTTGGGGGGCGGGGGAAAGTACAGTTTATTTTACTTACCATCTGGTAGCTACTGAGGAGCGATCATTTTATTCCTCAGAGATGGGGTTCTCTGCTCTCTTCTTTTCTTCTGTTTCAGCTGGGATCTTTATATTTTTATAGACCAAGAGGACCATATAATTTTAAAGACAGCATGAGTCTCAGATCCACTGGTCTGAGTTTTACTTCATTTATAGGAATGAAGAATTGGTGACTCGGTGAGGTGACGTATTACCAAAACATCAGGGGAAGACCTTATCTTAGAATCTAGATTTCCCAGCTTCTAGTTCAGAAACTCCTCACCTTGAGGGGATTTCCTATCACCACCCACATGGATGGATGAAGGGCAGCACAGTGAAGTCCTTCTCATCATCACTGTAGAGAATAGGCATTTCTTTTTCCAATAACCCTTCCCCTTGCTGCATGATATGCACAAAACGTTGGATGTTCTAAATGTAAATTTCAGTGAATTATCACAAAGTAAATGCATCTGGGTAACCAAGATATGGGCTAAAGAATTTTCCCAGAACTATTGAATTCTATAACATATGGATGAAGTGCCAATAAAATTGTTTTTAAAAATAGATTTTTCTCAGTACTACACACACCCCTACTACCACTTCTACTCCCTCTCCAAATGGATTCACTGGTATGTGTTAGTCTGGGTACTTTAAAGAAACAAATCCACAGAAACTTATGTATAAGAGAGAGTTTTATATAAAGGTTAAGTGTGCATCAAGAAAACAACCCAACCCAGTGCTGCCCAAGCCCACGAGTCCAACATTAACCCATTAACCCATATGTCCAATGCCAATCCACAAAGTCCTCCTCCATCTCACAAAACAGATGCAATGATGCCCACTGTAGGAGGAAAGCCGAGTCAGTGAATGTGTAAGCATCTCAGTGCTGGCAGGGGTCTCCACATGGCTGCTCCAGCACTCAGGGTTGCATCGGGGTAGGTCCATGTGGCTTCTCCTCAGGGATGTCTTGCAGGAAGTGAGCCTTGCCAGCTAAAGCAGGGAACTGGCTAAGGCAGGTGCATCCTGGTCTGACCATCAGAAAGGAAGAGACCTGATAACTAGAAAGGTTAGGCTCACTGAGGCATTTATCCCTCCGCCCTTCAATTAACCCCACATGTGTTTATCGGCTAGGTTGGCACAATAAACTAACTCGGTATGCCACAGAATTGCTTTGCTTGTTGGTAAACTTCATATACATGAACTCTTGACATTATATAGTTTTTAATACCTAGCTTTCCCCCCTTATATAATGCTTTGGAGATTCATTCCAATTGTTGCAAATCCTACTAACAGATTATGCAATCTACCTAGAAATTAAATCTTAGGAAAATATTTAACATGAGTACAATCAACATATCACTTTTCTCTTCTTGCTTCTACTTCTATCAGTCTCAGAAACAGAAACTTTAAATTTTGTACATTGTCTTAGTTGACCGTTCTATCTAGCTAATCAATTATCTTCTCGGTACATACACTATTGCAAATAATTGTGCCTGTTATTTTTGAAGAAAAAAAAAGAAGTGACACTTATGTCTTATATAAGGACCTAATAATTGAAAGCATGAGTGCAGCAGCCAGGGCTGGACTAGAGGGACAAAATGCTCAGAAAAACCTGCAAACAAAAAACGTACGAGGAAATGAATAAAATTATGCCACAACATAAATCTTTTTGAACAATAGATGTACAGTGACCTTGAAATGTACCTTTCATACAAACACTTCATGATTAATATATAATTAAAGTTTCAGAGATAAATCCTATTAGCATAAGGGTTATATAATTGAAACGGAATCATATTGCTAAGCCTGAGGTTATAAGGAGAGCAGATAAGACTACTGTTGGGTCCAGGGTTAAACAAAAGCAAGTGTTTGGTGGGTTATTAGGTGTTGTTGTGTAGGTCAAGGTTAATGAGGAGTGTAAACAGTCTTGAATGAGTTCAACTGCAAATTCTAAAATAGTAAGTAAAAGAAGAATAGTAAATGTGATGAGAGTTGTTATAATATTAATATTAAAAGTGAGATAACTCCACCAATTAAGTGAATTAATAGGTATTCAGCTATATTAGATGTTAGTTGTACAGCTAATGCTGTTGGTTGAATAAAAAAGCTAATAGTCTTGATGATAATTAGTATAGGAATGAAAGGGACAGAGATCCCGTGCAGGAGAAAATGGGCACATGAAGCTTTAATTTTGTGGTTTAAGCCTTCTATAATTAAACATTGATAGAAGAAGGGATAAAATAATCAGGAACCTCAAAAATTCTTGTAATAAATAGTTAAAGGAGTTATGTGTAGAGCCAGCGTGAAAAAGGTTAGAGAAAATGCTTATAGGTGAAGTCAGGTATTTAAAGACAGAATGTTAAAAACAACAACAGAAAAACATATCATTCCAGGCTGTATGAAAAAGTAAACTAACCCAAGTGAACAAGACTCATAAAAAGCTTGTTTGTCTAAAATTAAAAATATAATAGAGTCATTAAGAACTTGAATCCACTCAAGGACAACCAAGATAAAACAAGCAACAAGGGCAAGCAAAAAAAACGTTAGACTGATAAATAGCCCAAACAAACCAAAACCTAGTGCCTTCGAAGTAACTTTGACTCACAGGAAACCTATAAATCAGAGAACTGGTCCTCAGAGTTTCTGAACCAGTAAATTTTTATAGGAGCAGACTGGCTTATCTTTCTCCTGAGGATGATGGATTTGATGGATTTGAGCTATTGATTTGTGTTAATAGCCCAATGCCTATCTATCTGCTCCTTAAATTGATAAATGGAGTCCTTTAATTTCTTTCTTTCTGAACTGGGGTCAGACATTTGTAACCTGAGGACTTAAGTTGGAAAATACATGGAGAAGACAGCTGTGCCAAGACTGATGTACTATTGGTGGCAGACAAACAAGGCTTTGCTTCATCAACACCCTATATGCTGGATTGAGAAACATTATTCTGGCAATCTTGTGATGGACATTCGGTTTTATTTGGCTTATGTTTGCTCATATCAGGGTGGATCGCAGAGGTGCAATGCTATTGCAGGTCACCTTCTTGAAATTGTGTTACCTGTTTCTCTGTCGGTAAATGAAACCCTGGGACATTAAGTCTATAGGGAAAGCCAATAGAACAAGGGTTTCGGGGTGAGGAGGAAATAAAAGGGAGATGATGCCAAGGAGTCTAGGAAGGAAAAGTATGTTTGGAGACTGATTATGGAAGCAATTGTATAATTCTGTTTGACGTGATTGAACTATGGAGTGATACGACATCGATATCAACTCCCAAGTGACAGCAAATTAAACAAACAAATGAAGCAAAGATCCAGGAACGGGTTTTGGGCTCCTACTAAATCCTTGCTTCAGGTGAAGAACAGTTGCTTCTTACATCAAGGCCTGGTCGATACTCGCCTTCAGGAAGGGAATACAGAAGGTACTGATGCT